GTGATGGGCCTCTGTTTGTTTGCATGGACGACAGAGATGGCGTTTGATAGGGTAAGGTATAGTGTCGGAGATGAGTCCCGTGCCCTCCAGCTTTTCTTCTTGACTGCTAGCTGCCGCTCGGCATGACAATCACAATCGCGACATGGCGACACCACCACAGCCGACCCTTGTTCTTTCGGTCCAAAGAGAGCCGATAAGAGTTGGGTTACACTTTTCAACAACCTACCGTCAAAGCGTGGTGATACTGGCGGCTACTATAGGTAAGGGGTCTGCTATCGGACCACACTTGACAAAAGAGCCTCCAATATCACCCTTCTGATATCCCGAAGTGCCCCCAACGGTTGATACCACTTGGTTGATTGAGCCGAGTACACGCCCATCCAGACCGAACGGAGAGCAGGAGAGGGCTTCAACCAACCAACCAAACCCGCCTCCAACCCACATGGCGCACAGCATGCCGACTTTAAGTAGACGCCACTACAAACGGCCGAGGAGGAAAAAGACGATGTCTTCGAACGGTCGATGGAAAGAAATCACTCACCAAAAACCACGACAACGAGACCATTCCAAAAACACGCCTCGGTCGGCATATTCGGCTGAATACTGTTCCCCCTCCTCCGGTCGCCTTGAAAGAGAAAGAGAAAAAAAAGATTGAAAATCAAATGCAGATTGCGCGATCCACACTGGCGGACAAGACCCGATCAACCCTCCCGAGATTGAAATGAATACCCCTGGCTAGTCCTCATTCGGACAAGCCGTTGCATTCGCTTGTCCCGCCAGCAGTGTGATGAGTGGATGACATCCAAGCCAACCATCCATTCATCATCCATCACGTTGGTCGGTTGGTGCGGGGGAATTAGTGAGCAGTGACTCGAGTCGCACAATGAGGCAGCTCCGACTCTCCGAGACCTTGAGATTTGCGATGTCGATTCGATTCGAGGTGAAAGTTTGCATTGACTTGGGCGTTCGTATACATGATAGCTTTGAAACCTCCAGCCATACGAAAGCCTCAAAAGCTATCAAGCCAAATGCTATGTGGGGACTGTGAAGAGGTGAGCTCTCCCCACATTTTGTTTTGGATTCGGAGGCAAGACAATCCCGTCCTCACTCGATGATAGTCTAGCGTACAATGGAAACAATGGGTGACCCGTGGTCCAGAGGAGGCATTTCAGTCGCTCCAGTGGATGGATGATGCCAGTGCAATAAATCCCCAGTGGTTCCCGCACCCGAACACAGCACGCAGCGGGACGGGAGCTAAAGGCGGAAACTTCCGGGCAGCTTTTGGCCACTCAGGCTGAAGCAAGTCTGTTATCGATAAGAGAAATGTCCGACCAAAAAATCCGCCGCGATAAGCTTGGGCGACTGTTATCGAGCTTTGCGACCTTCAATCGCTACATCATCACTCAACACTCAGTTCTCATCATCAGTACAGTACTTACTATCCTCGATTTCAGTCTCGATCGATACATTGTGGCATTGTGAATTGCTCAGCATAACCAGTCAATCCTCCTCTCTACCTCTACACAACCATCTCTGGTCACCATGGCCGACTCGGTGCTCAGCACCCTCTGCGGAATCTGCCACGCCGAACCACCCAAATACAAATGCCCGCGCTGTCTCGCCCGAACGTGCTCATTAGCATGTACTCAGAAGCACAAGATTAGAGCTGACTGCTCTGGCGTCCGCGACCCTACCGCCTTCGTCCCCGCCACCCGTCTCCGTACTACCGCCGGCATCGACCACGACTACAACTTCATCTCCTCTATCGAGCGCGCCTGCAAGCGCAACGAGCAAGAGATTGTCGAAGTCCGCAAGATTCTCAGCGACAAGGATCTACATCCCCAAAATGAGGACAAGGCTTTCGTCAAGGAGTGGCACGGCGACGAATTGCGCCATGTCCCCGTCGGAACGCTGCCACCACCGAGCTGGAAACAGCACAAGATGCAAGAGGAAGGCGCATGGATATCTGGTTTCAGCAGACTAGTACGCCAGAGACTGAGGAAACTCAACATCGAGGCTGTGTCCATGCCCAAGGGTATGACCAGACAGCGCGAAAACGAGACCTCGTGGAACCGAAACAACCAATGCATTAACTGGCAAGTCGAATGGCTTCTCTTCAACGTTCCCGGTATTCCTACGACTGGCCAACAACAACAAGAACACCCGCACCGAATCCTCCACAAAGCTCTCGAAAACAAGCCTCTCAACCGCGCCTTAGCCGAAACCCTCGCCTGGTACCGCAGACGCCTGTCTCGACAAGCTCAAGAAACCGAAACTCTCCCCGATCCCTTCGACCCCGCCGCCGAAGACCAGCTAGACGCCGACGGCCGTCCCCTCAAGCGCCGCAAACTCGAATCTGGCTTCGCCCCTACGAAATCCAAGAAAATTACCGAAATCATCGCCTCCCCTTACCTCTCGTCCCCACCGCAGAACCCGCTCACCTCCGCCTGGTCCACCGATTTGCCCTATACCATGCAATACCCCCTCACGGGCGCCTGGTCGCAAACTGCCTGCGACGGCTCTGCTTCGATTCCCAAAACCGACGACGAGGAAATCGTTGACCAATCCCGCTTGTTGGCGGGGTGGCGTTTCTTCTTGCACAAAACCTGGGCTCCTACTTCCTCTGCTTCTTCTTCTCAATCCGGGCAGACGAAACCCAACGGCAAACTGCTGATCCCGCTCAACGCGACCAAGAATTTCTCACATGCTCTGCGCGGAAGGACGGTGGTCGAGTTCCCGACTGTTTACGTCTTACCGCCTGGTGGGGACTTGCCGGAGGGATTTGGGTATGCGGATACGAAGAGGAGGAAGGAGAGAGTTGCGAAGATTGTCAGAACCGAGGCGGGCGAGGAGGGAGAGTCTGCAAGCAGTTCGTCGTCGTCTGACTCTGACGCAAGCGACTCTGATTCTGATCCAGATGAGTCGTCGGATGAGGGCGAAGTAGAGGAGATTTCTTCTAATAATCCTAATGGGCGGAAGAAGCAATTTGGATCGCAACAAGCTGCGTTCCGGCGGGATCAACGCGATCAACGCGGTGGCAGTCGAGGTGGAGGGAGGTGGGAGCGTGGTGGCCGTGGCGGTCGAGGCGGCCGGGGAGGGAGAGGTGGTGGTGGTGGAGGGAAGAATGTCCGCTTTGAGACTACTGAAGACCAGGGGCAGACTGAAGAGGGTGAAATGGGAGGAGGAGAGTTGGACGCGGCAGCGCTAGAAGCAGCTGTCAGGCAGGCTGCTTCTGGTGACTTTGATGTCATCTTGAACCGCCGTCCGAACCGGGACGCAGCGGAGGACGGCGAAATCAATAGCGATGGTGACGAAGTGATGGTCGATGCTGATACCGGTTACCGCGGGGGCCGCGGAGGGCGTGGCGGACGCGGTCGTGGTCGTGGTGGATCCCGTGGTGGAAGAGGTGGTCGCGGTAACTTTCAACAACAGCGAGGCGGTGGCAGAGGCGGCCAGGGACATGGAGGTCGCGGAGGATTTGGAGGCGGCCAACAGCAACAGCAGCAGCAGAGGATCAAACCGGAGACTGAAGCACCTACCCATATGGACGTGAATATGGAAATTGACGCCCCAAGGCAAGAACAACCACAACAGAAGAAGCCTGACACAGGCAACAAGGGCGGTGGCGGTGGACTCGGTGGACTTGTCAACTACGGGTCTGATTCCGAGTAGTATATGGACTCGGACTCGGATCGAACACAAGAAAATCCTTCTTTAGGTAGATCTATCTACCTGGCTTTGTGGGGTGGACAGCGAATATATATGGATGGATCGATGGATGTATGTCTTGATGGCTCCAGAAATGAAGAGGAATCGTATAGGTAGATGTGGCTTTGCGTGTAGAAAGATAGTGTAATGGACTTGTTATCAGCTTATGTCTACCTACGTCACTCATCTTCTGCCTTTGAAGTGTATGGGGAAGCAAAAAAAAAAAGCAAGGAAAAAAAGTACTAGAAAGTATGAGGACAGAAAGTAGCCCAAGCATAACCTACCTGTCTGAACTGTCTTCACAGAAGATGAGTAGAAACTGGACAACAGACAAGATCGGTAAACCACGCAACAGAAATTGCATACACATCAACATGGACATAAACTAGTATGGACGTTGATGCTTTCATTTCGAGTGATACTTTTATACATCAACTTCCATTGAATATCCGAAGCCTAGGCCAATCCAATAAAGAAACAACATCGTAAAGAAACTACATACTCTAGCTGCCTTCACAGTGTCATTGGCAGAAACTGGACAACCAAGACACGATTACGATCAGAAATGGTTGACGGAGAAATTGACCAATGCACTTTTTGCCAGAAGGGATATATCATAAGAATCGAAGGGAGAAGTAGCTGTGACTTCATTCAATAACGTATGATGCTATGTCTTAGAAAAGGCGACAAATATGTACCCAGTAACGGTATGATATCATATTCTTGCATCATGAATAGGGCAAATTGATTGCACGAGTTGGTGAGGTAGGGAGGGTTTGATGACTTTGATTATCCCGACGCAACAAAGGCGTCCTTCAAGTCAACCTGATGGCCATGTCCTCCAAGTTCATCGGTTTCATGTGTCTGTAGGGCAGCAGCTTAGCTTGCCTCTGTCTGTCCAATGCCAGTCCCGCTGCGCTTCCATCTCAAGGGCAAAGAACCCTTCCCATACAGACCATGCTGTTATGGATCTGTGGGCATAATAAAATACCAGTCAACCCAGATGATGCCCCTGGTCGCATCTATCCAGTGATTATCATCCTCCATGCTGTGATGGCTGGAGGTAAAAGACGTTGCGCGCTGTTTAGCGGCGATGGCCGTACTGCGGCCAGTCTCAGCGAGAGTGCTGCTCACTCCTCCACTATCACCTTGATTAGATCTGGAAAATCACTCTCGCTATATGGCCTGCCCTGGGGTCGTCCCAATTCATAGCATCATGCCACAACTCCCAATGAAACTCCGGGCTACAAGCCTTTGCCTCCGTTCAATAAAATCATGCTCAGTCCCAAACCTAGAGGCTTCGAAAAAGGAAAACGTTCGTTCACAACGCCACAGAGCCCATCAAATAATGGGCAAATCACGAAAAGCGGAATTACTGTGCAGCGGCCGGCGCATCACGGCGAGGGAAGCCATTGCTCGCACCTCGTCCACCACGGAAGCCACGGCCGCGACCACCGCGACCACGGCCTCTGCCACCGCGAAAGCCACGGTAGCCACCATCAACACTGCCTTGACCGAAGGTCTCGATGTTCCTGCGTTGTTCCTCTCCGCGCCACTCACGACCACCCGGCTTTTGGCCATTGTTCTCAGCTCTATCCTTGGCCTCACTTGAGATGTTGTCAAAGAATGACTTGCTCTTGTTGTAGGCTTGTTGAGCAACACCAGAGACATCGGCAACAGCTTCCGGAGCAGCCGATTCGATTGCCGGCTCCTCACCAAGCGGAGAACCAGCGATGGCCTCCTTAACAATTTCTTGCTTGTTGAACTTGGCATTAGAGGACTCAAAGTCAAAGTCAGAGTCAGGGACTTCAACCTTGGCCGGACGGGGACCACGAGCACGACCACCGCGGTTCGCAGCGGCGGCGTTATGGCTCAATGGGGCGCGAGAGGGGGTAGCAGTCGCAGCGGCGTTAACGTTCATTTCGTTAACACGCTTGGTAAGATTGTCAACAGCGGCGGCGGTTACTTGCTGCTGTGTAGCGACTTGGCCATCGAGCTTAACCATGTTAGCCATGGCAACAGCGACGGCCGCTCTAGCCTGTTGAGTCGCGTCACGCAACTGGGCCGCGCTCATCGGTCCGCTTCCAATTTCACCGGCTGGCTTGGCAGATCCAGCCGCCGGCTGAATGGGTCTTGCAGTAAGGGCAGCGGGAAGGGGGACAGCAGGAAGAATCTGCGAGGGACGAGTGGTGCTGCCCTTGGGACCAGTGGGAATGGTCTTCTGTTGGGGAGAAGGACCAGCCGGAGCAGTATTGTTCAGAGACGCAGCAGTGGCCTTGACCTCTTCGACAGTGGGCTTTGAATCGTTTGGCAAGGAGGGGGCGCCGGCAGCAGGCTGCTGACCAAAAGACTTGGGTACTTCGGCAGACAGCTCATGCTGCTGGGGTTGCTGCTGAGACTGAGAAGGCGTAGACGGCTTCTTGTCACCCGCAGGACCAATGGGCGCAGGCTTCGGGCCAGGACCCTGATTGCTCGGGGTCTGGTTCGCAGACTGGCGACCTCCCTGGCCCGGAACGCCGGCCGGAGCGACACCAGGACCAGGCGGGTAGGGATAGTTGTTCCACGGACCAGGACCATGACCCATGGGGAACTCCTGACCAGGAGGGAACCATCCGGGAGGGGGAGGATACGGCATGCCACCAAACGCATTAGGAGGAGCACCAGCGCGGCCCCAGCCACCCATATGAGGAGGATAATAACCGAAGCCAGGGGCGCCTGGAGGCGGCGGCGGGCCTTGATGGCCGGGAGCACCTATGGGACCGGGGGGTACAGGACCGGGTGGGCCCGGAGGTCCAGGAGGGCCAGGAGGGCCAGGAGCAACATTAGCCTGACGAGGACGAGCCTAAGCATTCCATGTTAGCGACTGTGGAAGCCAGTATAATGAGGGTGAAAGAGGGTATGGTTGAACCACAGATCAGAAGGAAGGCAACGGAAATCTCAACATTGTTTTTGCGCTTTTCAGACAAAAGTAAAATTTTACATCCGAGAATATTTCATCATGGTGTGGGCTGGGTAGGTGGAGTGACTAGTAGGAATGGAGACTTACGCCGAGGATTGCGGGATCATCAGGCATCGGAGGCTTGTTCTCCTTGGGAGGCGCAGGCCCCTCCTCTATGCGAAGATCTTTCACATCGCTGCCGCGGAAAACGATATACTCGTAAACCTGGTCTGAGGCGGGCACTTCCTCATCGGGATTGTGCTTGCGGCCCTCCGTTCCAAATGACCGGACGTTCTCTAGGGAGACGGTAGACTCCTCCGAGTTGATGTTGTGCAAGGTACCGACATAGCTGAAATGACGGTCAGCGGGGCTGCCAAGCCTAGCAGGATGCAGAGGCTAGAGCCTACCGGATGTCGCTCCTCGATATCAAGGATATCCGAGAGCTAATTATCGCGCGAAACGTTAGCAAAGGAAGCATTGTCGGGGACGAGAGGGTGAGGGGAAGTAGCTAGCACCATCAGGTGATGGCGGGGGGAATAAGCGGCCAACATACCCAAGGAATTCAGACATTGAACAAAGCGCGCTGGCTGCAACAGCGTTAAATGCAGTATGCGCGTGTGTGTGATGTGCGGTGAATAAAAAGAAGCAGAAGGCGAAACGGTTTTAATCGAGCCGAAAATGAAGAAAAAATAGAATTAAAGATCGCGGATCTTAGACGTGGAAAGGGAGTAAAGACAACGACAGGAAAGTGTGCGCAGTGTTAGGTTGTCATGGCGGGGGTTTCATAGTTTGCATGGAGGAAGGAGGAAGAAGAAAGAAAGGGAAGGATTGGCGGGAGGGAACGAGGTAAAAAGGCAGCCAACCAGCGAAAACTCACCGAGTTCAGCCTCCTTGCTTCGTGGTGTTGTGACCCCACATTGCGCCCGTCGTCACCACTCTGGGCACCTTTCGGCGTATGTTGTCCCGGCATCCGTGCACCGCCACGGTGGAGGGCGAGAGGCTGAAATGGATAGACCGACAGAAACCTTGCCGTCGGCCGGTGTCCTCATGTACTCAGTTCGGGTTCAATATACCACAGTAGCTCGCGTCAGTGTCCAATGCCAGCTAGTCCTGTCAGCTTAACATTTGTTGCAATATGTCTGTTTCACGGCCATCGAATAACGACTCGAGACAGTGGTAGCACGCCGATGAAGCGAGTATTGTTTATCTGCGCTAGCTGTCGTGTTTTGTGATCCCGAGAGTACCTCATTGTCGAGCTCTGTTATGAGATCATGACATACCTATATATAGGATTCTAGACATGATATATTCGGTATAAATCGGCTGTACAATAACATTCAGACCATGCGGTACTTATGCATTCGAAACCTTGCAGCACTCCGGAACCTGCACGCTACCTTCTTGTTTATAGCCTACGTACAACCTGCCATCTGCTATGTGTGACCTGGCCTTCAGTTGTTACTTGTTGGAACAAACATGTCCATCGCTCAGAGCTTCCAAATAGCAATCAATGCGGTCGAGTGAAACCACTTGTTATGCACAAGTAGGAAAGCCCAAGACTTTAAAAAATAACAAGCAAGCTAGGTCATGAACAGCTGTCCACTTGATAATTGATCGATCCAGCTCTGTACATATGTATCATATCTTTGGGTAGAGGTACCTACCTAAGTAGGTAGGTCCCGTCTGTACTGCAGTGCTGGAAGCTCCGTCATGCAAACAACCTCAAAGCCGAGGAGAGCATCCATTTCCCCTGCCGTCGGTGTTTCGTCGACATCATGGGCTTGGCAGGCCCACTTTTATTGTGCTCGGGAAGGTGACTCCATCGGCCACTCCAACTTCCGTTCCTTGACAAAGTTTCTGAAAAGGCAAGAGGCAGCGAGCAACTTGATTACACCAGCAAATTCAGTGCAGCTTTAGCCGCTTGACAGAACCCAGTGTTGCTCACCTTACACCATAGTTTAACGCGTGCCGACCAAGTCACCCATCCAGGCGGTCGCATTCTTTAAGACTAGAGGTATCTTTCTCGGCTGGTGGGGTTATACAGCCTTCGATTTGCCCCGCGGCCACAGTCCAGCAACTTCGTCATTTCATTTACAAAAAGCATTCTCATATTGCAACATGGCGACACGGCAAATGCGAAAGCTGCAGAAGCAGCAGGAACTTCTTAGACTGCAGAATGAAGCAGAACGAGAAGATGACGAATCCGAGGACGAGCCCATTATTACGAAGCCCAAGCCCAATGCTTTTGCAGGATTTGCCGCTCTTGGAGGGGGAGACGACGACGACGATCAGGACACCGAGGAGGAAACCAAAGAAGCCGAGGACGTCCCAGAACCGGTAGCCCCCGCCAAGAAGAGTAAAAAGTCCAAAAAGAAGAAGAAGAAGGGCAAGAAGACCGAATCACCTGCCGCGGAAAAGGAGGAAGAAGATGATCTGGATGAGATCGATCGCGTTCTTGAGGAGCTTAAGCTCAAGGACAACAAGAATCCTGTCTCGGACATCGCCACTTCTAATACTGCCAATTCGACCAGTCAAATCAACGAGCTCTTGCGCGTCAACTTTCAGCATCTCAAGGCTATCAACGAGATGCGCAAGCTGTTTGGCAGTGCCATTGAAGCAGCGCGAGCGGAACAGGCTGCTGAGGCTAACAGCCGTCAACAGCAAAGAGGAGCTGCTCGGCAGAACGTTGACCTCGAAACCTTCCTTTCGGTCCCGCCAGCAGTTCAGCAGCAGCTAGGAAAGAGGAGCATGTTTGAGACAGTGTTGCGCACGAATCCCTTTATCGAGGGCAAGAAGACGTGGCCTAGAGACTCTACTCGCGGTCTTAAGATGGTGCGTGTCACCGAGTCCTTCAACGGTGAGCCTGGTGTCGCCGAGTTTGCTTTTGCGCATGACAAGACATACGACGCCCTCGAGGGCAACTTCTATGGTCTCGTTCAGATGTACGATCCCATGCAACTCGTCTACTTCTTATCCAGGTACCCTTACCACGTCTCGTCGCTCATCCAAGTGAGCAAGGTTGCCCACCAAGACCAGAACTCGTACCTAGCCCACGACCTCATCGAGCGAGCTCTTTTCACTTTTGGCAGGGTCAGTCTGAGCGATTTTCGCAAGCGGTTGGGAGATGGCACCGCAAGACTGGACTTCAACCGACCCGAAAACAGGCAGTTCTTCTTGGCTGGCTATAACCAGATCAAGAACCTGGTCCTCAAGGGAACCTACCGCACGGCTCTGGAATGGGCCAAGTTCGTCCTCAGTGTCAACCATGATGACCCCTATGGCGTGCTGAACTGGATCCACATTCTAGCTATCCGCGCATACGAGGCCAAGTGGTTCATTGAATTGTGCAACTCACCCCTGATTGCCAATCTGGGCACCGGTCGCTACGTCAAGGCTACCCTCCCCTTGGCCAAGCTTCAGCTGAAGGATAACGCCGGAGCACGCGCTGCTGCCATCGAAAGCATCGAGGAACTCCCCTGGCTTTTCTGCGCCCTCTTCAGCGCTCTCAACATCGATACCCCACGCTCCGTTTGGGGTGTCCAGCCCCGGGATGACGAGGAAGCGCTACACACCAAGCTCTACGTCCACCTAGCCAAGGACATCTGGAACAATCCGGCCGCGATTTCCCTCCTGACCGAGGCCGCCAACGCTGCTCGTAAGGTGGACTTCTTTGGCCTGCCTCCCAGCCCGGTCGTCTCGCTCGCTACAGCCCGCTTCGTGTACTTGGACAACACACCCGAGCTCATGTCGGCCGTTCCGCGCAAGATGTTGCACACGGCGTCTCCCAATTTTGACTTTGACCCTCTCCCACCCCCAAAGGAGGACAACATCTTTTCCAGCCCGACTCAGAAGATGCCATGGAGCATTGCCGAGGACGACGGCGAACATAGACAGACGAGGTTGCATGAGCAGGCGCAAGCTGCGCTGCAGATGGCTAGAGCCCGCATGAACGAAGAACAGCTCCGCGCCGTGGTGGATGATGCTCGTGCGAGAATCGACGATCCTGAAGCCGACGAGGAGCAGCGCGGGGTGTGGCGGAGGATCGTGGATGTTTTGACGGGTCAAGGATGGACAGGCGGAGCAGGAGGCGTCGCGGAAGGAGGTGAAGGTAATCAGAGAGGTGATGTCATGCCTGGGGGTTGGGAAGATGATTTCGATGAGGGATGGGGTGATGATGACTTTGAAGACGAGGATCACTGGTATGAGGATCAGCTTGATCCTGAGCTCGAATTGGAGTTTGGCCCGGGTGGCACACCCAACAGGAGGGCGACGGTTGAGGATGCGGAGGATAGCGACGAGGAGGAGACTGCTCGGAGGTAGATGTTCCTCCGGAGAGTATGATTAGGGGAGAAGGAAAATAAATTACTGGGAGACTTCCGTTTTTTGGACAGTGGTGTAGTAGCGAATTAGCTAAAGCGAACTGGCTGTTTCTATGAGGCAAATGCTGATAGAACCATCGAATATTTCCATTCAGTACAGGACCATTTCAAATCATGTCGTGAAGCACTATGTACCTGTTTCGCACGGCGTTAGACCGAAACCCCTAACAAACTTCTGAGCCTTCAATATTCCACAACGCATAAACAGCGACGGGCAACCCAAGGAGCAGCACAGGTATTCATAGGTAGTGTATGTGTCTTCACGTTCGGTTTGAGCCGATCAAGATGTCCAGGATCACAAGACATGAGACAGTCTCGGTGAGCAAGTTTCAAGCTCAGGGCAGTCCGTCGCTTAGTACACCGACCGAGGGGGTTGCTAAACGCGGGTGGAGACACAAGTGTTACCGTCTGCGCGGCACTGTAAAAGCTTCGTTTGATGTGGCATTTGCAGCAAGGGAAGAACAGCAGGACAGTGTGAAAGCGGACTGGCGCCATCGCACGACGTCTCACGCACCACTGCAACGACGGAAGCAACATGAATCCCTCCTTGGGAGATCTGCGGTTGACACGGAGTCCCCTGATACACCATCGCGAGATCATCTGAGAGGGGAACAGAGCGGCGTAGCGGTACCTGGCTGGCGTACCTGACAGTAAGTAAGGTAAGCACCACGCAATGAGCAAATTATTAAGCTTGTCCTCCATCTTTCCTTCCGTATCAGTAATGCGTCTCTATTGCAATCTGTCAGGTTCGCTTTTTCGCCCGTATCCCCTGAAGCTATTTCGTTGTCTGTAGTTGTTCCAAGTTCCGCTCCTCCCATTTTGGCTCATTGCTATCCCAGTCGCGGAGCTTATTTAAAGTGCTGCCCCTCCCAACTCCAAGTCCGCGCTCCCCCCCCATTCCCGCGATCCACGAACACCTCACTTACTACTATTGTTGCACGTTTCCACACAACTGCCCCGCATCGCATCGCATACCATTGTCGCAACTTGCACTCCGATAAACTGTTATCTGAACCCTGACATTACCAACCCAACAAATCCGTCAAAAATGTCCGGCTCCTACACCTACAAGTTCGATGTCACCATGACCTGCGGGGGCTGCTCCGGCGCCGTTGACCGCGTCCTCAAGAGACTCAAAGGTCCGTTGTCTCTGTCCATACCCCCCCCCAGGTTTCCTTCTTTAAATACATTCCGATTGCCCTGCCCGCCGCCCGGTACCAAAGAAGCATGCATAACTGACAATGACCAGAGAACGAATCAAACATCGTATCCTACACAGTCCTCCTCGATGAAAAGAGCGCCAACGTCACCGTCGATGATGAGTCCCCTGCCCTTTACGAAAAGATCCTCCGAACAATCAAGAAGACTGGCAAGGGTGTCAACTCCTGCGTGGAATTGGACAGCAATGGGAACAAGATTCGTGACGTGGATGTTGTGCTTAAGGACGAGTAAGGGGCATGCAGACGGGAACGATATAAACGCATGGGAAGGACACTGGGAGTGACACCACGCCTAGTATGGTGGTCGGAAGAACAGAGAATATGAATTAGATTAAGGGATAGCAGGCGGTGGAGGAATTGTATATGGCATACAAATGAATTCGGGCGGCTGAATTGCGCATGGCTTGGTTTGGTATATATACCTTTTTAGATTTGCAATAAAGCTGTTTGTTTTAACGGATAATTACTGAGATTTGTCCATCTCGAGTGGTTATGTTGTGATCAAGCTCGATGTTCCCATTTGAAGCCTCGCCGAAGTACTTATTTATTATTCATGGTATGAACCTCGTCGAACACCTCGGATATAGCATCACAGCAACTAGACCAAACGAAGTGTTCAGAAAATGCATCAGAATCTTTTCTTCCCAGCTAACCCTACTCTTCCATATCCAACTTTATAACAAACAAAAAATAGCAAACTGGTATCTCAACTCCCCGTTTTCCCCCCTTTAGTGCCTCATCGACTTTCCGATCTCGCTCCTCCACCCCTGCGCCCTCTCAAACCCATTCGAGTGCGTCTGGTAATCCACAAAAGCCTGATACACCTCCTCCTGACTGTTCAGCACAAACGGGCCATACTGCACCACCTTCTGATCAAGCGGTGTTCCTGCAACCAAAACAAACCTCGCTGGCTTCTCCGCGCCCACATCCACCTCGGCATAAACCGCCTCGCCCTGCGGCTCAAACACCACATTGTGGAATTGCTCCACCGTCCTCTTCTCTCCGTCCTTGCCCGAGCTGAAGATGGCGGTCCCCTCCAAAGTATACGCAAACGCGTTCCACCCCTCCGGCACCTCCTGCACCACCTTGCCACCGGGCTTCACCTCCACATCCAGAATCCACACGGGCGTGTACGCCAGGTCCTTGACGCTGTCCACCCCGTGACTCTTGCCGCTGATCACCTTGATCTTGACGCGTCCCTCATCCGTCTCGACCGTGGGGATCTCCTGCGCCTTCAGATCCCGGTACCGCGGCTCGCACGACTTGAGCTCCTTGGGCAAGTCCACCCAAAGCTGCAATCCCACGTTGGCGCTCCCGTCCGGGTTCTGGCGCGGCATCTCGGCGTGCATGATGCCCCTGCCCGCCGTCATGAACTGCAGGTCGCCCGCCTCAATGGTGCCCTTGTTGCCGGCAAAGTCCTCGTGGTCGACGCCGCCGGAAAGCAAGTAGGTGATGGTTTCTTGACCGCGGTGGGGGTGGTCGGGGAAGCCGGAGCCGGGACGGATGGTGAAGTGGTCGAGCATGAGGAAGGGAGAGAAATTGCGGAGCTGAGGGGTGCCGATGGAGCGACGGACACGGGCGCCGGCGCCTTCGGCCTGTTCGGTGGCGAGGAAGATTTTGCGGATGAGGCGCGGGACGGACATGTTTGCGGCGGTGGGGGTTGTTGTGATGACTATGGTTGGGTTTGATGAAGAAGTAGGAGAAGAAATATCTTCTGAGGGTTGAGTTGCGAAATAGGTGTTGATGTTCGTGTAGTTGAGTAGTTGGGTTGTGAGTGTAGAGATGTCGACTTGTAAAAGGTCGATAGGCAGTAGGAAGATGGAACAAATTCCAACAAGGATGGAGATGATGGTGACAAGAAAAAAGTTCTTCATGACCTTGGAGGAGTTGAGAAAGTTAGGGATACTTATAGGATCGAATCCATTTGCTGGGTCCGGCTTTTGAACTTTTTTGACTTTTTCGCCCACTTGTGACTTTGTTGCTCACGAAAAAAAGATGGTCTAGACGATTATAAAGGTCAACGTAAGCAGCTGGAAATCAAGGTGAGAAGAGTAGTCAGTAGGTGACCAGGAAAAGGGTCTAGAATTGTCAAAATCATATAGTGTACGTAGAACTATCATGAAACTTCTGCCCATGCCACACCGGTCAGTTCTTTCCAATTGCTTGCTCATTCGCTTCCCGCCACTGATCTCTTGGACATGGACGGATTCGACGATGCGCCGCCCATCGATACTGTCGCAGTCACTTTGCAAACATAAAACGAGGCCCCTCGAGGACAAATGATTACAAAGCTGGAAACAGCCGAGAGCTTGGTGGGGCTCAAAGGGAAGCACAAAGAGGCGCCTTTCCAGATACGGTTAGCGCAGAAGCTTACGTCAAAGTCGGTCATCATGCCCAGATCCAATTGCCGTGGAAGTGGAATTGGAATTGGAAAAGCTTTGACCATCCATCCATGTTACCAGAGTGTGTTGGCGCTTTCGTTCGGTCACTCCCGTGTACCGAAAAATGAAGCTATCACGGGCGAGACCCGATGTGGTGGCCAGGATAGGAAAGACGGTGATCTCTCAGGGTTGGCTGAAGCACAACATGATTATACTTGGCTTCGTCCCAGGCTTGAGTGCTCCGTCGCATGCTCAATGATGTCAGATTCGCCATCGGCTTCATTCACAATCACCCAGAAATGCACAACCGCGCTCAGCTGTGAACATCATTCCGATCAAAATGCACGAGTCAACAAGGCACACAGCTGCGTCAAAGATTTAGCAAAGATTTTGACTTCTTTATTGACAGCCGCCGTAGTGCAGATACTAACACCTGACTCGTGGTATTAGCTGCGAAGGTATTAAGCGCTCCAGAGCCACGCACTTGCAAGTAGCACCTCCCCGGTATCTACATCGTCTTTCCTTCTTCTTTTATCCACCAGTACGCAACCCACGCCAAGTGACAACGCAATAAAAATTCGAAGAGCAAAGATACCTCGACGTCCAAACAATAGCCATAATGAAAAGATAAGAAACCCAATTGCACCCCTCCAAAAGTGATATCATCCGTTATTCCTGTATGTCTGTGTGATAAGCATGCTTTTCGTATGCTTCAACCCCATGCTCACATCCTCAGCAAGCCTTCAATTCCACCTACGGCACCAGTGTAGATATAAAGGTGAGGTTGTATAGTGTATAACTGCGTCTTCAATCCACAAAGGAACGCCTGCGCAGTTGTATCAGTCGCAAGAACTAAAGGCCATGCCCCAAAGCGAGACGGGAACCGGTGTGCTCTCAACTGCCCGGGGCGTGGTATCGTTACCAGCTGGGTCGATCATTTCTTGAGAAGTCACCTCATCCGAACCGTGTGACGCAGTCGACTCTTGGTCAGCCAGCGGCGGTGTTCTGGCCAGCCTCTAGTTGTTGGCCGTGCCGTTAGCCGTCTGTTGCTTGGCGTTCTCTTTCTGGGTGTTGAGGAAGCTGGCGGCAGTAGCGTAGGTCTCGGTGCCGATAGTGAGAGCAGTAGTGAGAGCAGCCTTGTAGTAAGCGCTCAAGCCTTTGCCGCCAACCTTCTCGAGCTCGGTGTTGTAGGTGCTGAGAACATGCTCCTTGCCGCTCTGGCCAAGGCGGATGGGGAACTGGAGAAGAGACTGGGCGTCGTGGACAAGCTCATCTGTCGGCTTCTTGACAATCGGAAACTTCTCATCGATCTTGGACAACGTCTTGTCACCCAAGTCATCGGCCTTATGGACGTATGGGGAGACATATTGGTACGGGCCCTGGAGGTAGCCGAGGAAGGGGGCTCCAACCTGGTACACCTTCTCGGTAACCTCGAGGAGTTTTTGGCCGTAGGGGTTGGCCTTCACAGTCGAGATACTGGACTCGACGATAGGGTATCCAAGCAAGTGCTGTCGACATGTTAGCCTCGGCCGTGGAGCACACGAGAGGTGACGGGGAACATCATAAGCTTACCTTGATGACCGCGGAGTTGGAGGCAACATCGCCATTAACCTGCCTGTTGCTGTTCGACATCTTGGTCTTCTTCTGGTGAGCCATGTTAGACGCTGGAGAGTACGTAGAGTGCCACACAGGAAGAATGAAAAAAATCAGGAATTGAGAGCAGGTGAGAATGGCGGACTGTACAATTTTGTATGATTTCCAGAGAGGATAGAAGGGTGGGACCGAGCGTGAGTGAGATCGGAAGGTTCTTTTAAACAGGATGAGGTGGTATCGGAGTTCGGAACTGTTGAAACCAGAAGGTGGGAGAAAACGATGCAAGCAGAAGAATGGCAAGGTGGTTTGGAAGGAGACGGAATTTGTAAATGGCAACTGCCTGTGTCAAGAGGAAGGAGAGAGGGGTGGAGGGATGAAAGACGTCTTTCCCGTCCGGTGAAACCTCACATATTGGTAGTCCAGCCGATGCACGCCACTAGCATGGGGCTATTGCGGGTAGGCAGGATCACTATCAGAACATATGAAGCTTGGGGAACTAGCAATGAAAGAAGCTGCCTGAGCCGTTGGCTAGAGGTACCTCTAACCCTCAGGGCACCCCTTCCCTCGTCATGGGTGTTGTATCCCCTTGTACCTTGCTGAGACTGAGTAACTGAAATGCACATGAAAGAGAGCATGTTCAACTGAATCCTGTCATGATCTGATGCACATCACACTCAGTCTACCTACAGATAGGTACCTGCGGGAGTCCATGCGGGGAGCTGATAGACATGGCATCTCCGATGTTAAGGCCCAGTTACTGCGTGGAAGCCGGGCGAGTTTTGCCTCCCCTGCCGGTATCTTTGAGCGATACACGGCAGGTACTTGTGGTTCGTTTACAGTGACACAGAACCGCTCTCGTCTTCCATGACCGAATCCAGATCTTGGTGCGTCAAAAACACGAAGTGAAGTCCAAGGTGTGGATGCCCAAAGTGGGCTTGAACACATTGAACAGACCTCTCGACCCCTGTGCTTTCCTTCGATGAACCGGGGCGAACAATCGAAGTGCCCTGATAAGACTCTGTCTGGTGGGGCCCCCTCGCTTTCGGGGCTGCATGCGTCGGGCCAACACCCCGGCCTTCCAGGCTGCCAAGCAAGCGCTGCCAGCCAGTCAAAACGAAGGGAGGGAGAAAGTGGCAACCCCTCCTTCTGACATGTGAAAGCTCACAAGCCAAAACGAAGCCACAGCATCCGTATCCCTGGCATTGTACTACACTATAAATGTGAGCATCATCCTCATGCCAGGATCACCACCGGGGTTTGATTGATCCATTTCAGGCGCCTTGGAGGAAAACAGCCGATGGAATTGCCTGCGTGTCGTACACCCAGAGCGTGAGCCCCGGAGGCGACCGAGGCCGTCAAAGCTATACCATACCTAACAAGATAGGAGGTGAGATGTTGGATGTTTAAACAGGCGACCTCACAGTTGACCACTTCATTCGGTGAAACAAAGGGCCTTCACGTGAAATCCCTTCGTTGTCATTCCGTGACATCATTCTCTCGGAGGAGGCTCACGGACAGTGCACTCCTCAATCGAGATACTGCCTGGCTCGTCGTGGTTCAGTCAATTTGTTCAAGATAAGAAGGGAGATTTTCAGGCACAACGAGATACACGACATGCATTTCCCAGGCGGGGTTATTGCTTCAAAGTCTGGGTCTTCGGACCCGGTTTCCTCTCTCATGATGGACTCGTACACAAGGAATCATTTTGTGTAACAACCGGTGAGGCTCGGAACGAATGGAAAGAGTGGCCCTCACACCCCCCACGCCACGCCATCTCTACCCGTTGCTGCCGGTTCATCATCCGTACGAGACTGTAACCTTCATTCCTCAGCGCCACGCAAGTTTGGAGGATGACGGCAGAACTTGAAGTTCTCGGCTGCACAACTTCAATTTCGCCTTTTCCACGGTTGATGATCTTCACTTGGAATTACGGAAATGTCAACTTCCCCGGCTGCACCGGAAGCAATTTCACGCTCACAACTGACAAAAGGCTCGACGTCCAACCACATCTCCCAAGCTGCCTCGTTCAGCGGGGTATCAGGCTCACCTACAGCCAGCAATGCAAGTAATGCAGCATGCAGTGTTGCCTCGCAGCACTTATTGTGGTCGGGGCGCTGTGGTAAGCTCTTCAGTTGGTTCCTCCACAAAGGCCTTGCAGAGGCCAGACAAAGGACCTTGAATTTTGAACATTGACTCGCATCGTAGGCACCAGCACGTGCACCGTGAGGTCCAATTGAAGAGTCAAAGTCGGCCCCGTTCAAAATCTGTGGAAGATTTCAGTTTTGGAAACATTTGGTGGACGACAGGGGCTGACATGTTTGGCATTTTTGTGTGTTGTGGGTGCCCCTGTACCTTCCGCGTGGATCCAAGGGGTCCGGGTCACCACCAACCTAAAGCAGGAAGCGCCAGCCCCTTAAGAGCTTTGGCGTGATTGGTTGTCAGGGATGGCCTGTGTCGTGCCACTTTCACATGTCAGAAACATGGAAGCGACGAGATGACCGACTGAGCAGGTTGTGTGTGTTTTTTTTTTCTTTTTTTTTTTTTTTTTTTTTTTTTTTTCTGCGAGTAAAAGCTCAAAATCCGACTCTGATCTGTTGTTAGCCCGATTTCATTCGCCCGGAGCGAGCTGATCAATAATCGGTTTTATCATCGGTTACATATGCAAGCCACAGAAAAACAGAAAGATATAACAAGCTCGAAGCCGTGTCTCCCCTCATCCGTTGACTGTGTCGACTGTAAAGCATCACAAGAGTTTCAAAGCATGGTGCACAGGGCATCAAGTGAAAATAGGGGCTGACGTTACCCAAACAAACCTCCTACATTTTCTACTACCCGCGGTCTCACAGCATCCATGCCCGACTGTTGACCGAGCAGATATCGTTCTTGCACCAGACGGTTTCGTGCATCCTCCATCAGGCGAGTGCCCGTTATCTTGAGTGAGACGAGGATTGTGAAGATGCCAGACAATTGGATGCAGATATCACTCTAGCAGTACACTTAGATGTATCTCAGCATGGCATATCCGCCAGACTGGTGGAAGCCTGCAGGTCTCGGTTCAAGCAGCTGCCATGAGGCTGATATGCACAAGCACCACAAAACTGATAGAGTCGAGATTGAGACCAGGCACAAAGCACAACTTACGTCACGGTTGACCTGCACCTCACAATTGAGGGTCCCAATCAATGTCTGGAATTCCACATTTTCGAACGCCATCGGGTGAGATCGAAAACCCGGCGAGCAACTACGCATACGCACACCCGACACACTGCAACTCGGGGCCCAGACGCCTGGGCAGCTGATGACGGTACATCGTCTCTCCTCGGCTGAAACCCCCTACTCCTCTTTTTCTGTCTTTTTTTCCTCTTTTTTTTCTTTTCTTTGGAAATTAAATAGTACAAGACGGGTTCTTGGCCGGCGCTCGATCGGAACTCGATCCGAGGGTGATTTCTCTTATGCCTTCTCTTGAGGCTCTTTGAAAGTCGGGCCGAAAAAAATCTTCAGACTTTACTGCGCCAACATCATCTCTTTTCACAAGCTTCTGCACTCTTTTCTGTTTTGACTCGTCCCAGCTGCTTGGCACGCGGACAGTCGAGATGAAATGTCATCCCTTGCCCATTACGCATATATTCCAGCTTGAGCATGTGTATGTGGCGGACCGTCCCACGTGCGGAATGTTTCCGCTAATCGAAGCAAGACGATTGAATTTTTTTTCTTTGAAATTGGTGCTTCTGACTGACATGTGAAAGTACCCAGATAGATGGGACAGTGACGGACACGACACTGCAAGACAAGACGCTGAGTTTACCAGTTAATGATCGAAACAAGATCATGTATCAGTTCAGTTGGCAAGCTCTGAAAGCAAAGGGCCGGTCATGGCTGCATTGATCCTCACTTCTCAGGCAGACGTCTAATCACTCTCTTCGGACGATCCAATTGTGAATGATATAAGACTTCTGTCACCACCACTCATGTTTCTTCTCATGAGCATCCGCCAATCGAGATGCCAAGACTCATCTTCAGGGGCTGACCGTAAGCTTCGCGAAAAATGGTACGGGAGTGAGGAGACCAGGTCAGTTCAACACCAACGTCCATATTTTGTTCTTCTGATCGCCCATGAAGATTGGCTGTGTCTCGTCAACGCTTACAAACAAGCTGTTGAATTTGGCTGTAGTGGGCTTGAGCTTAAACACGATACCTCTTTTGTTCATAGCGTGAGCGAGGTTTAAACGTCTCACATGGAAGGTGCGAACAATGTTTCCACAGAAAAAAAAACTCCGATGATAAAAATTGAGCAGGCAAGAGTCCCTTGCGTGACTTCCACTTTCCTCGATTACCCTACACTCGAACACCAAAATTTTGCTCTAACTCGCATTCATTCTTCCATTTTAGTTCTTGCCCTGCCTTCCCCAATTGCAACGAAACCAAAGCCTCAAGTCGTCAAGTCAGTAAGAACTGTATGTCCTCGGTGCTTTGCATGGTCTGACCACAATATTGTACTTAACAAATACGTGTAATAATAATTATATGCTGGAAACAGACCCGCACCTCAGAAGCGAGCCTTGACCTTGGTCATGGTATCTTGCAACGCCCACTCGTTCACCTTCTCCCTGCTGCGAACAGCCTTGACCTGCTCCGCCGTAAAGCCCTTGGCCTCGATTGCTGGGTTATAGCCCAGCTTGTTGAGCTTTCCAACCGTCGCCGAGTCGATAACCGGCGCCTCCTTGCCGTCGGCGCGCTTGTAGACGGTGACGACAGCGGCACCACCAAGTCCAAGGTTATGCTGGAGCGCGTATTTGGTGTGAGGCACATTGCGGTTGTTGGCCCATCCTCGGAGGTGCCATACCAACTCGGCGCACTGAGCGATACCAGTGGCGCCTAGAGGGTGGCCTTTGGAGATGAGACCTCCACTGGGGTTGACGACGACCTTGCCACCATATGTGATATTACCGGCGCGCACAAACTCGTGCGCCTTGCCGGGCTCGGAGAAACCCAGAGCGTCAATCAAGATCATCTCGTTGGCACTGAAGCAGTCGTGAAGTTCGCACACAGCAAAGTCACTGGGCTTGACACCGGCCTCTTTCATGGCAACACGCGCAGCGTGCTGGGTCATGTCCCAGCCCATCAAGTCAATGGCGCTCTTTGAGAACAGGCTGGGCGCATCAGTGGCCAGGCATTGACCGGCAATGAGGATGGCTTGGTCCTTGAGGTGAGGGCGGGCGTCCAGGAACTCTTGGGAAACCAATACTGCTGCCGCGCCACCATCGGAAGTTGGACAGCACTGAAGCTTCGTCAATGGCTCGTGGACCTTGGGTGACTGCATAATCTGGTCAAGGGTGTATACGTCCTGGAACTGCGAGTATGGGTTGTTGACGGAGTGGGCGTGGTTGATACGAGCGATCTCGGCAAAGTCCTCGGGCTTGGCGTCATACCTATGAGAGAAGGAATAAGGTCAGTCATCATGCCATTTTGTGTAACATTACGCTGATATTATATGAGATTTGGCTTACTTCTCCATATACTCTCGGCCGGCATTACCAAACATCTGAGCGGCACCAGGTGCCTTGGTAACTCCCCTGGTGGTGGCCATCATCTTATATGTCGTTCCGAGAGGGTTCTCTCTGTCGTTGAAATGGCTCTGCAAGCTACCAGCCTGCATCTTCTCGAAGCCCACTACCAATACACAATCGGCCGCACCACTCGAGATGAAATTACGGCCCATGGCCAGACCTGTCGAGCCAGTCGAGCAGTTGTTGTTGACGTTGTAGATGGGGATCTGGGTCATGCCGAACTGGTAGAAGACGCGCTGACCACATGTCGAGTCGCCGTAGCAGTAACAAGCGATACCCTGCTCAACATCGTCATAGGAGATCTGCGCATCGAGCATTGCCTTGACACCAGCCTCAAAACCAAGCTCGGTATAGTCCACTTTGCCTCTGGGTTTGATGAACTTGGTCATGCCCACGCCGAGGACGTAGCATGGCTTCTTCTGCCTGGGGGCCATTGCAAAAAAGTCGGTATGGGTATTTTCGGACTGATGGGTTGTTGGCTAGTCGGTGATCGACGGGAGCGAGAAGAAGAAGAAGAAGAAGAAGGAAGTCGGAAACCTACAACCTACGGCATAAAGTAAGAGGGAATAAGAACTTTATCGTAACGTCCGTGGTGACGGCAAGGTTCATGCCTTCAAACCGTTAGCATCACTGTTCCCCTGGCGGTGACGGGCCCGCTTCCCCACGTTTTCCCCAGAACTAAATGCGGGGACGCCCCAGTTACCGAGGCACCTTGCGACGACGAGTCGACGACATGCCAGATCCCTTGCCACCCGCCATCAAAACACCACCACAAAGCAACGATTTGGCACCATCCCATCAACCTATCCAATGATGGGCTTACTGGAAAAGGAAGGCTTCTCTCTTAAGCAGACGGCACACAAAGTCTTAGGATCAGAGCCGCTTGTCTTGGCGGACCTCGAAGATCATGACCCCTTCATTTCATTACCAACAGAGACACCTATTCGCAGTTTGGTGATGATAGTTCCAGCTTACAGACATTTCATTGATACAACGAGATTCTCAAGAGTGGCTTTTGAGTAAACACGGTCAGGAATACTATGGCTGCTTACTGAGCAAATGTCAACGAAATCGTATCTGAAATTCATCAAGCTAACATCTTATTCAACAACAGGCCTGACTCCTCACCAAGTGGGAAGCCCACTACTCAAGAAACATATAAGACAGAACACAAGAAACCACATTATTTCAGGAAACCCTCAGGTGGTCGGCTAGGTGCTTCTGAAAGACCAGGCCTCGTCGTCGGCCCGCTTGCCATTGTTCTGAGTCCAGGCCTCGTCGTCGGCCCTCTTGGTGCTTTGGAAAGCCCAGGCCTCGTCGTCGGCCCGCTTGCCGTTGTTCTGAGTCCAGGCCTCGTCGTCGGCCCTCTTGGTGCTTTGGAAAGCCCAGGCCTCGTCGTCGGCCCGCTTGCCGTTGTTCTGAGTCCAGGCCTCGTCGTCGGCCCTCTTGGTGCTTTGGAAAGCCCAGGCCTCGTCTGACTTGCCTAGTTTTTGTTAGCACCGGTTTTGAATGGTTCATCATTCCGGGAATGCATACTAGGAGTTGGGATGGCAATGGCACCAATAGCCAGGAAGGCAATCATGAAGGAGGTCTGAGTGATCTGCATCTTGAATGACGGGAGAAAGTATCAACGGCGGGTTACTTTTTGGGGCAAGTTTCTGATTCTGTTTGATGAAACTGACAGTTACAGGACGGGAGGCCTGGTCTATTTATGCCTTTCAACTCCAACAAACTAGGTCATTACTGCCTAACATCTCACCATCGTTGTCAATACTGTCGGCCTCATTCTTCTTCTCGCGAGATACTCCAAGACGAACACAGAGGGCTCACCTGTACGGGGGCCGACCGACGCCCTCGTCACTTCGAAACATGCATTGCTGACCATGCTGCCCCCGAAACGGACATACTCATGCAACTTTTCTCAGCTGAATCCATTCATCAGGCACTTTGTATTGCATCAGATAGGGCTGCGCACACGTCATAGGCACCAAGAGTGCAGGTTTGACCGAAAGAGGAAGCTGCTTTTCGTTTTCTCTGGTCAGCATGTTGATGCAAGGCCGATCATACCTTGATCCTCTCTGATAGTTCCCAGAGAGAACGGCAAGTGATGTTGAATTTGAATGCGCCGTGTTCCAAGAGGTCTCCTGGATTACACATCCACGAAGAGTTAAGCACGGCTTCTCTTAGTGTTGGACTAGTCGGGGAAGGATGGTTTGTCCCATCGAGTGCGACATCGGCCGAATATGTACCACTGCAACATGGCCCCCTTTCTTAAGTGTTTATCTTTCTGACTTGCATCATTCCATTAAGGGATTATGCAATTACCCCGAGTCATTTGATACTAGCCGGATTCCAGTCGAGTTGCTTGTTATCCTTCTTACAAACACGGCATTCTTTTTTTTCTCGATCCTCGGCGAAGCTGCCAAAGCCAATTCTCCTCTCTGTTTTTTCAACCCTCCCTAAGCTTTTCAAGATGGACAAGTTCAAGCCCAGCAACTATCTCCCAGTTGATTGTGAAGAATCTTACTCACCAGACCCTGGGTCCGACGAGGATGACGAGGAATGTCGTGAGTTTTCAACCACTTCATCAGCTCGCTGGGCGGGCTCAAAAAGCTCATGGATTCAACGGCACTGGCGCTCTGTTACCGTCCATGCCTTGCTCATAGCGGCAAACTTGTTTCTCTTCATCGCCTACACGAAGGGAGTCATAGTTCCCGTGCGTTACACTGATCCTCAACATGAACCAAGTGAGTTTTCCCCGTCTTCCTCTTTTGTGCACATCCCGCTGCTTCTTCAAAAGAGGGTGTCTAACTGTCAAAAATCCAGCTCCGTTACGTTCCGTGGTGAAGTACGAACAAAGGGCGTTTGATATGGGAGCCATCTATGGCCTGGGCAAAAACAAGTCTATGAACATGCAAAAGGGTAACATCAACTTCAATGGCCCACCCAGACCTGAGCTGGAAAATGCTTGGAATGACCTTCTTCGCTGTGAGCTCTTTTACTCTATAGGTGATGTCAAATACTTGATGGTTCTAATAGGCTGAAATAGTTCAAAACGTCCGAATCCCCAGAGAGGATATGGGCCAGTTCCAGGACGACGACACTGTCATTCGGTTGACAGACGGGACCTACTACTTCACCGTATCAGTCTTTCACGGGCTTCACTGCGTTGAGAGAGTCAGAAAATACCTCTACAAGGATCATTACTACCCAGACCTCAGTGAGATGCAAGCCATTGCCCTGCTGAAGCATACAGAGCATTGCATCGATTACTTCTTGCAGTATCTCCAGTGTAATGCCGACACGACTCTACTTCCTATGGAGTGGACGACTGAGTGAGTCACTGCCCCTTTTGACCGTTTCTCATCCACGATCGAGATCATTACTGACAAGGATATGTCTCCCACCAGAGATCCAAAGCCTGTCTCCCAGGGGTTGGGCAAACACACCTGTGTCAAGTGGGACTCAATTTTCGACTGGATGAAGGAGAACTCTTTTGATCCCTTTGAGCCGGGAATTCTGATGCATCCCATCTTTGGTAAGTTATGACACTCAGCCTGATTGATTCCTGTTACGCTGCAAACACTAACAGATACAATCGCAAACAGGCGATCCGTACGACCGAAATGCGTCTCACCACCACGTCAATGTGGGCCTTACAGAGGCCGGCGGGATTCTGCATCTGAACGAAGATGGGACGGTGAAAGAAGGTAGCAAAAAGGCACATTTGCATTCGTGAGGTATGCAGATAAGCGAGCAATGAGTATGCACGTGGACGCAACATCATTTATCGTCAACCGTTGTAAGCACGACATAGACCAACCTAGAACTTCTGTTCCAAGTCAATCTTATTTCCTATTTTTCTTTCCTTTTTTGAACTGTCACTTTCCTATCCGGGAACGGAGCTGTTATCACATACAGAAGCGTCGAGATGTCGTGCCCCCAAACAGTTGATACATGGGCACGGTAACATCGCTCCAAGCCTTATTTCAACTGCGCCGCCGCCTCGTTCCTTCAGAGTGAAGTGCGAAGTACACGTGCATGACAGAAAAAGGAACGAAGATAACGACAACAAACCGCTTGTGGCAAGAATGGCCATGTCAACCGGACTGTCGTGATCAATGCGGTTTGAATCACATACTATTATATATTGTCCCCAGATTGTTACCTACTCCGCACGAAACGTATGCATGCTGGGGTCGGGTGGCCGGATGGTCGTGATCGGACAGAAGCGAGGATGGACTATCGATCTTACAACATGCAGTATTGCGACCTAAACGGGATGGAGGAGCGAGAAAGGATTCTTCTGGCGAGGATACGGGCAAGGCTGGGCACGGTTCGGCCCGCGGCGCCAATTGTGGAATCGAGAGCTTGAAGACGGGGGGTTCGTCCCAAGTAAGTCTTGGATATGTTGATTGAACTGAACTTGCCAGTCCGCTTCCGAATCTAAGTCGATTTGCATACGCGTATCTCTAGAGTCAGGACATTAACACCTCCCTCTTGCGGATTGACACAACCAAAGCCCCGGACGTAGACTCCCTCTAAACCCTTCATCCCGTAGACTACCACAGTCTTTTGTCTCTTCGCCGATATCGCAGAAGCTACTACATTCAACTCAAGGGGTTAGACGGTAGTTACTACCACTTCTTACCTCACTATTAGTGCTTCATGGCCACCCGATAATACCTACCTTGCATAACACGACGTCGGGGAGTAACATAGATCACATCATGCTGCCAACCTTTGTCTCGATTTGCATCCCAGCTCGTCCCCTATCTTCCAACAAGTCCGGAACACACTAGCGATTACGATTGCGCTACTACAACATCGTCGTGCTTCCTCCTACTTTCGTCAACGCTAACCTGCCTGTTTAAGAAGAGAAGTGTCAGCATCGCAGCCGAAAGATTTTCGTTTGGGATAACGTTGAGTGGATGTTAAGGTAAACTGAAGTCCGTGCCTGATTGAGTACCACGAAGATAAGTCGACGGTGGAAGTGGACCGAAGAGGTTTGGACAGTTGGTGAAGATGGCGAGTTTTCGGGGTTAGAGACTGTCATCTTGCGAAGACTGTGTGTTTGTTTGTGCTATCACATCAACGTGGATGACATGCAGTTTCGTTGCAGGTCGCAGTGGCCTTCTTACAATACGCTTTGATGGGAAGTCATGTTCAGAACACTCGTAATTTGGGTAAGAGCGACCAGAAAAACATTCGTGTGAGAAATACGGGTCGAGTGTCTCACGACAGTGCCACTGGTCTGTGGCATCGGTCCGTGGCATCAACCAGACAACCGAAGATCTCGGGTTAGTTCCGTCTTCACTTCCCCCAGAAAGATAAGGTTACATTTCACTCCCAATGGTTTCGTCAGTTACCGCGAGAAGCCACGCCATCTTATTGGCAATCCATTTGTTCAATGGCGATTTCTCACGCTACACGCCAGATCCATCAAAATGCCCTCCGCCCATCTCTCTTCATCTACGCATGTCCTACTGTCTACACAACCACCAAATCATGTCCTAGAGGGACTCAAACTCAAAACATGAGTCAACTCAAAACCCCCTTCCTCTCGCGGAACCTTGAGAAGGACTACGAAGAAAATGTTGAAACAGAAAGTCGTTCAACAACAGACGTCGACCTCGAAGACGCCCTCTCAACCATAACCCACAAAAATGCACGCCCACGTCGAAGGCCTTCATATGCCTTCCTCCGACGTATTCTTTTCCGCTCATGTCCAGATCTAATTCTCTACCTCTTCGCCCTCTGGGGATTCCTCTCCCTTGTTTTCCAACTAGCCCAACTCTTCTTACCCATAACACCCATCTTCCCCTCTTACCATGTTCGACCAACAACATCATCAGGGGCAAGACCCGGCACATCCAATACAGAAACCGACACAGTAGACGTCTACCGCCCCTCCACCTTCCCCTCCCCCTCTTACGACCTCTGCTCCTGCGGTTCTTCCATCCGCGAAGCGCAGTCTCTAAACTGCGTCTACGACACCATGGCCGCCGCCTGGCTTCCCCCTTACTGCCGCGACCCCGAACTAACTTCCATCTTTGACCGTTCCGGCCCGGGAGAAGGCGGAGCATGGTCTTACTACGCTGACAAAAACGGTAGCGTCCGTCTTAGTCCGCACCAAATCTCCCTTTTGGCGGATAACCACCAGACAAACGTAAAGGGGGGGAATGTCTTTTGGGCATCGAGAGAGTGGCATTTGGCGCATTGTTTGTTTTACTGGCAGAAGTTGGTGAGGATGCGGGATACGAATGCCGTGATGGAGAGGAGGTTTGATGGGTGGCGGCATGCGAGGCATTGTTATGGGTTGTTGATGAGGAGGGATCCGCCGAGTAAGGAGATGTTGTTGGAGGTTGATGTTAGGTTGAGTAGTGGGTTTGAGATGGGTCAAGAGGAGGGGGAACATGAGGGGCATTAAGTTTTAGTTTGGATGATTAAGAATTCTTTGGAAAAAGGAAGGTGATGGTAATACGTCCGAACATCATATTCCCATTGTCTATTCTGTCTAGAGGTATTTTACCTTCTACATAGCTTGAAGAAACCTCGCGAGTTGCCTCTAGCATTGGGTCTGCTTATGGCTCCTGGGCCATCTAAATCAAGTTACATGATGAATCGTAGGGCCTGGGGGCGTTTCGTGATCGATGCCAACTTCGCGAATGAGCAAATGACGGGACTTACTCAAAGTATCAGTTCAGCCTTTCTGAACATCTCAAAGGTAGACAGCCAACCCTGAACAGAATCCTTGTCTCCTTCGAACCCAGTCTCCCTCAACTTGGTTATACTTAGTTGCCGATCGAACGTCAGCCAGTAGCCCACGCTGTCCAATTGCCGGTGGCCAGCTCCAACACCTTTGGTGGCAGCGTTCTCACGACCGTGTTGCTTGAAAATAGACCTGTACTTGGTCACATATTTTCCAGGTGGCAAGAGTGAAGTCGATTCTGGAAGCTCGCCAGCCCCCATAGAGTTGTCTAGAGCTGATGCTTTCTCGGCGACCGGCCCAACGCCTACTAGGCCAAACCATTTGGCTAAATGCGGCCAAATCTCGCCATACTTGCACGGTGTCTCATTGTCGGCAACGTTGAATAGACGGCCGCCACCACAAGTTTCGGGATGTAGCGATGCATAGATCATAAAACGTGCGATGGTCGCGCTGGATACCGGGGAGAATAACGAGTTGGCACCAGCGGCGTTGCCAGGAAAAGGCACTTCAACAGGACTTATTGCAGCTTTGGCTGCAAATGGTCCGACACCGTGATTGTAGGCATATAGGGATAGATACTGAGCCCAGTGGAGGGCTAAGCTGAACTGGGAACCGTTGGGGGTAAACCCAATCTTGATCAATGTCAGTAGTGCGTAGTATCGGGTGCATCAAGAAAGACTCACAATGGCATCAGGGCAGACTTCGCACCATGTCCAGTGCTTTCCTTTGCTCGCAGCGCTCAACAGCTCGCGATATGCTGGATATACGACCGTCTTGGCATAGTCGGGTGGCAGGTTCTTGACCATGTCCTCCGTCAATGGAGGGGTAAATGTGCCTCCGGGGGTATATATCCCATATCCCTGATGTGGTCAGCACGTGGTTCATATTATTTCAATACTCCTCCATACGGTAGTGAACTTACCCGTGTCCCACCAGCAAATGCTACGAATTGCAAGTTGGGACTGAGAATCGTGTGGGCATCGACAACATTCTGAAACATACGACGGTTGATCGCCACCTCCTCAATGTCGTCCTCGACTGCTTGAAATACTACTCATGGTAAGTTTTTCTATATGGCAGCGAGATGTGTGGTACAAGGGGGAAATGGATGGATGGAGCAAGTACCTAAGTAATAGATATGAGTGACCGATTCGACATCTTTCACTGCCTGCTTCAAAGAATCTGCCAATGTAGTTCCATCACCCTTATGGAGGTCAACACCGGAGACGAGCTGTAGGTCTGGCTGGTCCGAATCCGTAGGCCACAAAGACTCGGAAGTATCGAGCGGGCGGTTCGTAACAGCCGTGATCTTCGAGAATGAGCCAAGACGCGGATAACCACGCAGGAGCTGGTTGACAATCGCCCAACCAATTAGACTAGAGGCGCCGAAAACGATGGCATGATTTGAGCTGTCGGCCATTGTGAATGTAGGTATGTGTCGGATACTTGACCTGGCAGGTGAAGCCAGTGGCATTCCGTCTTAAATATGCTCGATTCGCTTTGGCCGCGCTCTCTATCAATCATTCTGAATCATAGTGACCCAAAAGTGGATGAGAGTCGGGTTAGCGGTGAAAGCCTAGGGTAGCCATACAACCTCTGACATAACTCGATTCCAGTACCCGCTCAGTAGCGGCAATACAGAGCGGCCCAGGGCAGCTTGTCAACACAGCAGCAGCAGCAGCAGCAGCAGCAGCAGCAGCAGCAGCCAGCAGTAGTGTACCTAGCAAGATGGCAGTCCCTCGGCTCGAGCGGCGGTAGAGGTAAACTTACCCAGCAGCAAGTGGAGTTCCGTTGCGCATTGATTGGCACCTGGAGACACTGGCCGACGCAGACGGGACTTGCGCCATCGCTGGCAACCGAATTGATTGTCATTGGGACAACCTCAACGGTCGGCCATCTACGAGATGTCTATAGAGGCGTTTTTGCTACCCTGACGGCTGCGGCCGGTTGTAGAGAGCGCATGGTGCGCAGGATCCAGCCAAGACTCCGACGATCCAGAACCACGACAATTCCCCCGTGCTATGTCAGCTGCAAGAATAAGTTGCTGCCCCTCGATGGCGGGTTTTGGTGTAAACTGCGGCGGAAAGGGATGAGGAACTGGTCTAGATGGCGTGGCGCATCTCGAGAGGTAAGGCTAGGAGAAGACATGTTTCCGGTTTCGTTTCTTGAAGAGTCATCGGATATACTCATTTTCTCAACCAGGTACTTGAGCCTCCCATAGTCGTTAGTTCCATGTTCGGCTTAGTATGTGTACCTTGAACGCTTATTTTCAAACCGCTCGCGCACTTTGATGGGATAGGTTGGATCTAGGGATTCCCAGTCAAGCGGGGTGATGGGCATGAAGTTGAAAGCTACTTCCATGCTGTGTTGTGCTTTTATGACTGTGTCGCGTACGCAGAGGTGGAAAGGCAACGATAGAAAGAGCTTGGTTCTGGAGTGGGTTGCGATCGGCTGCCGAGAAGACAGTTTCTTTGAACCAGATGAGTATGATACTGGGAGGAAGAGTAGAGAGCTTGACGAACGATTTGATGTGGGACTGTGGTAGTTATCCTGACAACTCAACTGTAGACGGATTCATATTCTCCCGACGTATGAGTAAAGGATGAATTTGATGCGAAAATGTTTCCTTTCTCGCTTTGTAAAGACATATGCCATCACTTTATATTGAACATGCATTTGGAAAGATGCTCTTCGATATTCCCGGGGTCTAATTATGCCCGTGAGAGTGACAGAAACATTGAAGTGTCTGTCGATGTCCAGGTGTACAACAAGAGAATGCTATGGGTCCCGTACCCGAACTGCCGACTACTTAGCCACGAAAGTCTGTCAATCTTCTTTGCGACCTCGTTTTAGACAACGGACTTCTGGCGAATTATATCTTACCGTGGCCTTCCGTAGTATCGTCAACGTATCCCAATCCTTTGGTTCAGATATCACGCATATGTGACGAGGTTGCTGTTAATGCAGACAGGTCCCCCAGAGTGTAAAGTTAGGATGTTGTCACCTTTGCGAAGGCTTATTGGTGTCTCTGTGGGACCTATTTGATTATCAACAATGAAGTAGCCAGTAGATTCAATCTAGCAGTAAATTCGGAATTGGACAGTACATTGCAGCTATGATTTGGGCAAGAAAAATAAACAGGAGATGTATACCTAAAGAACTAAAAGAAAGCACAAAATTCCTTGCGTATTTATGATCTCATCCGTTCCACCACTGAATAAATGAGAAGGAGACAAGATACGGAAAAAGAAAACACGCACTAACAACGCCTCAAGCCTTCAGCCTTCACACAATTTCATATGTATAATATCCATTCCCTTCGCCAAATCCAAGCACGGGATCGGGAGTCCCGTTTGCCTTGTTGTGCTTGGCAGCCTGGGCAATAGCCTCTAGAACTTTCGAAGTATGAGGAAGGAATTTCCTACCAGACTCTGCGAGATAACGATTCTCTAGAGTAGTATTCAAAGGAGGGCCGTTAACATACGGGTCTTTCTTCAAGTAATCCATTCGCTCTTTCAGCCCATTCCTGACCTTTTTAGTGAACCACATGTCGATGTTTCTAAATAAGCCCTTTTTCTTCAGTTCTTGAGGGATATTTTTCTGGACTATATCAATTCCCTCATCTGAAGAATTTTCTTGGTTTTCAAGTACTGCGTCTTCAGCATTGCTGTCTCTCCTATCCTGAGGCTCGTCGTCAAAGAAGAAAAAGTGCCCAGCTCTTTGAAACTGTGTTTTGTGAGGATAGACTGCTGTCTTGAGAATCAATCCATAGGTCATTATGCTATACCCTCCATATCGAATCATGAATGGTACCAGGTAAACATCTTGTACGTCAACCTTGACTTCGTTGGCCTCGTCCCACTGTACGTATATTCTAATATCTTCGAGTTCAAGTGTACCCAACTTGTAGCCCTCACCGTCGTCTCTATGACAGTCTGGAATAGCGGTAATTCTCGCTCGCAGAACCGGACTTCGGAGCTTGATACTTCCCCCAAACTTGACAGAGCCAAAGGCGTTTGTCCTATTTTGTGGTGTTACACTCGCTTCCAGAACCTCAGCCAATACATCTTCAGTCTCTTGGGTGTCTAGAAAATACCCTAAGTTAGACAGCTGCCCAGATCGACCAGGTTGAATAAGGGAAGCCCAAGACCATGAAGGAGCTATTTCCATATTTCTCTGACTGCATGGCCCTCGACAAAACCACAAAAGATTTTGGATAAGGCGATATGACCAGAGCCCGGCAAGATAGGTTATACCACTCCATTCACTACTTAGCTGCTCTGCAAGGCCAGAAATGGCCACAAGTCTGTCTGAAGTCTGGGTGAGAGATCTCCTAAAGTATGTGCGTATCAGCCGGTTCCATGCCTCTTGCTGCTCCGAGTCCACCAGCTTGCCGCCAAGCAGACTTTGCCAGTCAGGCCGGAATATCTTTGCATAATCTCGATATAGACTTCTAGGTCTGTCAAGGAACTCTGGGAAGGATTCACTCGCTTGATATGTTGAGCATTCCCAGTGTAGCTCCTTTCGACCAAAAATAAGAGTACGTCGCGCCAGGAGTTGTTCCTGAAGTACCCATCCACGGGTGTAGAGAATGAGCTCCGTTGATAAATAAGACTTTGTTATATGTTCATTGATATACTCGGCCATTAAGTAACGATCTTCTCCAATTCGTATAAACCAAGGTGTTATCGAAAGCGGGTGTCGTCGGTAGAAGAGGC